TGGCCTGTAGATGGACTCCAATCAAGTCACTCCCTGGCACATGACAGACAGGAGGGCTTGGGGCTTTAGGGTTGAGGTGTAGGGTTCAGGGTTTAGGGTTTGGGGTTTAGGGTTTATTGTTTAGGGTTCAGGGTTTAGGATTTAGTTGGGGTTTGGGATTTTGAAAACATGACATAACCCAGACCATAGAAAACCTGTCTGCTTTTAAGGAGGTATTTGAGGAAATCAGTATAGAAAGCCCTGCCAAGATAGGACCTCAGTCTGGTCTGGTTTGAAATATGAGCCAGGTGTGTTTTTTATACTATAGAGGGGAAACACAAGGGATATTCTTGGCAACTACTCCGGCCTCTATACTATTGACGGGGCATTGTGAAACCAAGCTCCCTGCGGAACCTCAACGAGGTAGACGAAGAGAACACCACGCCCTGAACTCCTCACGCCGAGAACCGAAGCGCTGAACTCTAAACGCGGGACCCAAATCTCTCTAAACCCTAAGCAGACCAACGTCCTCCAGGCTGTTTCGAGTCCAAAGCCTGTAAAGCTCCTACTTAAAACTCAAACCCTAAACTCCTAAACCCTCATGTAACTCGTAATCCCAACCTTAAGACTTGATGGAAACCACAGGGAAACAAACACTGCCTTAAAACAAGAAAGAAAACCCTTCAAACAAAAAAGATAACACAAAAACACATGGGTAGTTTTCTAAATTAGGGTCCCTTTTTAGAGCACGCCGAGGATCTTCTGCAGCGCATTGTCTGAATGGACCTCCCGCAGTTCAGGGTCTAGGGTTTATATAAGTGTTAAGGGTTTAGGGTTTAGGGTTTGGGGTTTAGGGTTTACGGCTCAGGGTTTGGGATTCATGGGTTTAAGGTTCGGGGTTTGGGGTTTTGGGGTTGAGGGGTTGAAGGGTTTAAAAGAATTGGGAGCTTAGGGGTTGGCACAGACGGACGTGGTGCGGATGGACATTCTAAGGGCCGGTAGCTTTTTCGTTCAAGATGTAAGAACCGAAGTGGCTATTGTTCTGTGGCGTTGGCTTTAGGTTTAGGGTCCAGGATTTAGGAGTTGGGGTTCGAGGTTCTTTGAGAAAACTTGACAATCACCTCGTAAATCCGCCCAGACAGCCATGAAGCTTAAGCCAACTGCCACTGTGAGCCCCATCACAGAATGCCATCATGGAACATAAGAGACCCTTCTGATAAACATGGAAGCAGAAGAAATGTGACCACCTAAATGCTGAACCCTGAACCCTAAACCCTAACCCTTCATAGACCTCTAAAGCCTAAACCCAGATGCCGAGGTGCAATGAGGTACTGTTGCAGGTCCATCTTCCTCGCTTCTGCCAGTTCTGCAATGCACCAGATTCTGGTGAAGGCGGTAAAGTTCCTCAGCTTGGGGTAATACGGTTTAGGGGTTTAGGGGTTTATGGGTTTAGGGGTTTAGGGGTTTAGGGTTTAGGGGTTTAGGGTTTAGGGGTTTAGGTGTGTAGCGGGTTTCTATTTCTCCAGGGCTTCATAAGGTCTTAGGGCATAGTACAGGGTCTTAAAGATCAAGAGAGAACTTGTTGCACATACTGTGTTATTTTGTGCGGTATATAACCATATAACCATAAAACACAGACAGGTTTGAAGAGGGTTTTGGACAGTATAATACCATTGTGGTATAGGAACCACAAGGGAATGCTCCCTGCAATTCATGGCTGGGGGTTTCAGGTGTTGGGGGGGTTTTTGGGGGGTGCCTTAGGTTCAAGGGCTTTGGAATTTGGAGGGAAGGGCTTTAAACGTTCAGGGGGGCCTTGTAGGGTTTTAGGTTTAAGGGCTGTAGACTTTAGACTTTACCCTAAATCCCAAACCCTAAACCCTACATCCTAGGTTCGTGTTTAGGGTTTAGGGCTTAGGTCCTGAAGTTCCTCCGCTCGGATGCTGGGGGATTGTTAGGGCTAGGGGGTTTCAGGGTTGAGGGTTTAGTTAGGGTTTAGGGTTTAGTGGGTTTGCGGTTTAGGGGGGTTTCAGGTTGAGGGTTTAGGCTTCGGGTTCAGGGTTTAGCCCAGGGTGCATATAGATCCTTGCGGGTCTTTGAAACGAGGCTGCCTTTGGGGCTGCCGTCGCCTACCATGGTTCATAGATGCACTGATTGAGCTTGATGCTTTGGGGGACATGTTTAGGCTTCAGGATCGACGACCTTAGTGGCTCCGACCTTAACAAGTTTAAGCCCACAACGTTCGCTCACCTCGTCGGCAAGCAGCATATTCAATATCAGTATGAGAAAAGCACCACGCCCGGTGGCTTGTGCTGAAAGTTCGCAACAGCAACTAATAACAGTAGGGAGGCAAGAAAAGGAACATGTAGTGGCATTAGTTGGTAGGGACATGTACGGACAATGGAAAGCACAACAAGAACTGGATGAAGAAGTAGACAAGGTAACAGCGTCCTTCTATTGCGGCATTACTAGCTAGGGCAAGGTTTCGGGAGCAAGTTATGCTAAAACCTGCAACTAGGTACCGTGAGGGTCCTTCACCGAAAGCCCTGAGCTGTAGCCAAGGCACATGTCCACGGCCACCACCTGCGAGAAGGCAGGGACAACGACAGAGAGGTAGCCGATCATCTCCTGGGAGTCGGAGCCAAAGCTCCCAAACCCTAAACCCTAAACCCTAAACCCTGAACCCTAAACCCTGAACCCTGAACCCTAAACCCTCAACCGTTAAACCCTCAACTCCTAAGCCCTCCACCCTACTTGGCCCAGGGGACTTAGTAAGTCGGTTATAATTGGGGGAACTCCACTTAGGGGAAGTATAACTCTAGTTATACCCTACTTACTGAGTCGCCTGGGCATCTAAGTAGAGACAGCACCCTTACCCCTAAACCCTAAACCCTAAACCCTAAACCCTAAACCCTAAACCCTAAACCCTAAAAACCCTAAACCCTAAACCCGCCCGAAACCCTAAACCTTAGGTCTGGGATTCTAGTACAGGCATGTTGGATAGACGCAAACTAAGCCACCCAACCTCCCTTCATGTCAAACAGGTCATGTCATGGCAACCTAGCTGGAGCATATTCTAAAGCCTACATGATATTCACATGAACAGACCAGAAAACAAATCGATATACATACACAGCTGGGAAGGTGTGCTTCCTAAAAGCAGGTGAACCCTGTAGAAACAAAAACACCCCAAACCCTGCCGAAACCCTACACCCTAAACCCTAAACCATAAACCCTGCAACCTAAACCCTAAACCCTAAACCCCTAAACCCCTAAACCCCTAAACCCCTAAACCCTAAACCCCTAAACCCCTAAACCCTAAACCCTAAACCCTAAACCCCCGACCAAGGAGCGTCGAACTTGTCCATCTCACAGTTCGGCCCGCTCCAGTGCTTCGGCACCCCGCAGGTGCACGGATAGAAGGGCATCTAGGTGGGCTTTTGGGTTTTGGGCATCTAGGTGGTCTTTTTGCTTTTGGGTATTTTCGGGTTTTGGGCTTAGGGTTCAGGGTTTTGGGCTTAGACTTTAGGTTGGTGTTTGGAGAAGGTCGCGAGGGTCAGGTTTAAAGGTCAGGTGCAGGTTTGCGAGCTTGAAGAAACGTCAGAAGGGTATTCTGGCAGTCTTATCCGGAATCGGAGTTCTGTAAGTTTGTACAATGGCTTTCACACGGGTGTTGCACTTCGTTTTGAGAAGGTGCTAATTATAGGGCCCTGACCCCTAGACCCCCATTATATGGGTTCCTGTAAGGGTCTTAAACAGGATTTTAAGGTTTAGGGATTTGCAGTTTGCTAGGATGCAGGAGGCTACGTCGACGCAGTGCGCAGCAAGGCCCGGTGCAAACATAACATCATGAAGATCATGAGCCCCCAAGCCCAACCCTAAGAGGGCCTTAAAGAAAAAGATGGTTTTTTGATAAGAACCCTCTCATAAACTCCTAAACCCTAAACCCCAATGCCTCAAGCAGTACAATCCACAATCAGGACAGAAACCAAACCCATCTTCTCGAAAAGACTTCGAAACTTTGGACCCTCTTGGATACACCCCCCACTAGTAGGATCCTTAACCGCGGACCCATGGATATGGTGACTACACCCAAGTTTAAGACTCTGCTGAATCAGTGCCGCAAGCACCCCCATCGAGTCCGTCGCAGGCGGTGTATCGCAGATGCTCGCATGCTGGTTGACACCTCAGCAAGCTCCCCCACACCCTAAATCCGAATCCCTAAACCCT